AATGGAAGCCTCAGCCCAGGTGTGAGTAGTACCAATCACAGGCTTAAAGCGTGGGTGGAATGTATCAGGAGAGAGGGAAGGCAGGCTGCTGATGCCTCCTGCCAGCCCTGCCATGGACTGCGTCTCCTCTGCCATGCCATCCCGCCTTGGAGCCAGCCCACTACAGACTGGTATCTACACAAACTGCGAACTGAAATAATCTGATCTTTTCTTTCCTAATTCTTAAATTAAGAATTTGTTTATCATATCTAATTACTGAATTTAAGGATTTTAGATGCTTCTTTTTTCCTAATGTAAGAATTTAAAACTAATTGCTTTGTTCTCAGCACTGCATTGTCTTTCATAATTATTATTTTATTTTTATTTAATTCGATCCAAGTTATTTTCTAATTTTGAAGAGCAGTTCACTACTTATTTAGAAGTATGATGCTGAATTTACAAATATTTGATCTTTATTTCTCTTATTACCATTTCAATTCCATTTTGTTCAGGAAATATATTCTGAATAATTGTAATATTCTCATTAATTAATTAATAATTAACAGTTGTAGCCTAATAAATGTAAAATGTACATGGAAAATAATGCAAAATAAACTAATTTTGTATTTAACAGTATTAAGATATCAATGAATAAACATCATAGGTATTATTGCTTAGGTCTGTTCTGTCTCTTCTGATACTTTTTATACTTATTTTATCAATTCTTGAAAGAGGAACTTAAAATTTTTGTTGAATCATTTTTCCTTTAATTATGTTTTCTGTTGTGTATCTTAAATTTCTGTTCATGTGCACAGACATATTTATCATCATCACGATGTCAAATTTATCAGTAGGCTGTTCTGTTATTCTGGCGTGTCCCTTTCAGAGCTAATACTACTCTTTGTTGCCATACGAATGTTCCTGTATAAATAAGCCTCTGCAGGCTGCTTAGTCTTACTGATTCAACGCTGCATCTTCTTCCAACCATTCAGCTCTAACTTGTGAGTCATGTGTACTTCCTGTGTATGTCTCAAGCCAGAATATAATTGTATACTTTTCCATCCACACTAGCAATCTCCTATTTTGAATTGGCGTGTTTATTTGATTATCAGTTTATGGGATTGTTGAAGTGGTCAGCTTGGATCTGCCATATAGTTTATTAATTCTCTCTTTGTTTCATGAAATGTTGTTTGTTGTTCCTTTATAGTGCTATTTGATTTAATTTTTTATATTTTCATTTCAATTTTTCAAATATACAACTGTGGTTGTACTAGAAATTGAAATATAATTTTTTAACCTCACAATTTACAGCGTTACTGTCTCACCTTTTTATGAAATATAGAAACCTTTTGATGTTCATATTTCTTTTTTATCTTTGGATCTGCACTGATACAAATTTATATTGATTGTAAAGTGCAAAGGATGACTCATAATATGGTTTGTTTTGAAAAGTGCTCTAAATATTGACAGACATAAACAAACAAAACAAAGAGAATACTTTATTTACTCAGATGTTGACAGGGTCTCATTATAAACAATCCTTTCTGAAGACCAACATTTCCAACAGGGGTTATTCTCCTTCTGCCTGAAAAACTTCCTTTAGCATTTCCACTGCTGTAGGTTTGCTGACAATAAATTTTCTTAGATTTCTTTCTTTTTGGAAAATGATATTGTTTCATCTTCTTCTGGAAGTATATTCCCCCTAGGTATAGAACGGTGTGTTGAGTTTGTTTTTTGCTTTTAACACTTCAAAAATGTAGCACCACTCTCTTCTTACCGGCCAATTTTTTGATGGTGTTTCATCTGTTAGCTGAGTTTGCGGTCCCATGTCTGGAACGCTAATGCATTGGTACTTTTTCTCCAGCTGCAGCAAAAGTTTCTTCCTAATGTTTGTTTTCCAGCGCTTTCATTATCTACTGTCCCCCTTGGCCCTGGCTTCCTCCGTTTATTCTGGTGAGTGTTTGTTGAGTGTCTTATACATGAAAATTTCTGTGTTCTTCACATTTGAGAAAATTTCAACTTTTTTCAATTATTTTCCCTATGTACCCTCTCTCTTTACTTGAGACATCATTTATGTTGGAACATTATTTTGATGCATCCTTAACAGTTGAATACCATATAACTATTTGGTGATTAAGGGCATTTACTAGTCCTTCAAAAAATTTAAATATTGGGTTTTGAATTCTGGAGTTTTCACTTGGCTGTTTTCTTCATTTATATTTCTCTGTGGAAATTTTCTCATTCATTCATTGTGAGAATATTTTAATTTATTTCATTAAAGAGAGTTTTAATAGCTTTTTTGAAATCATACCTTGGGAGTTTCAATGCATCTGAATCATTTCAATGACGATTTTTAAATTTTCTTTCCTCGCGAATATGTTCTTTTCCCTCCATTCGTTGAGTGGTTTTGCATAGTTTCCTGTTAGTTCGGAATGTTAAATCGGGGGATTAAGGATTAAATTGTGGACAGAATGGATTGTATTGTGCGTTTCTCTTTCTCTCTGCTGTGTGCTCATTTTGCTTTAGCAGGACCGTATTTTGTTTGGATTAAACAACACATTCTTCTTCTTGGGTGGCAAGGCCAGGCTCAGCTCCACGTCTGTGTATGGCGGAGCGGCACCGGTCAGGGTTCAGTTCCAGACGTCGCTGACGGAGTCTAAGATTCGCTTTCTGATCCTTCCTTTACCTGTGGTGCTCTTCCACCTCTTTCACTAGTTGTGGTTACCTGGTGCTTCACAGACTGAGTCTGTTTTGAGGCAAAAAACAAGAAAAATAAAATTCCCCTCAGACAGCTCCTGTCCACTAACAGTACTCTCCTGGCCAGAGAATGTCTCCCATCCTCTCTCCAGTTACTTCAGGGGCCCAGTTCATGTGTTCTGCTCACCTGTGAGTTTACGTTCCATAGCTCACAGGGGGTCAGTCCCAGAGCCAAACACCACAAGCAGAAGCTCAACATCTGCTTTCTTTTTTTAAAATTAATTTTATCATTATGTTTAGATGTATGTAATAATCACTTTCATCATAAGGAATTTGCACTTATATACAATATATCTTGATTCTTTTTGTCCACCAGTCCCCTGCCCTCCCTTCAACCTCTCTTCCCCTCCTTATTTACAAAGATTTGTATCAATTTTTTTTACTTCTACACTGCTTTTTTAATAGATACACTCTTGTCTTCCATAGAACAAGGCTGAATTTTCTCCATTATTTTCTACTATGTAATTAGTGAGAAAACGTTCACTTGAAGCCAGTAGGATACTATAGTTTATGTAGTGGTGACTTTTTTATTATTTACATTTATTTTTTTCTTTACAAATTTAAAAAATTTCTTCTCTAAAAAATGTTTTTGTTCATTTAGATGTTATGATTAGGATTTTAAATAACCCCAAAGGGACCCATGCTGGCTTCAGAGGCTGTGGTGCTCCTGGGGGGAGGGGAGCCCTTTAGGAAGGGAGAGGAGGTGAGGTCACTGGCCGTGTGCCTACACAGGGAAGTCAGTCGTTCAGTTTGCAGATATGCTGCCACACTTCCTTCAGGGTGGCTTCGACAGCTTCTGGAAAATCAGAGGTTTCCTGTATTCTCTCTTCACTCTCTTGCTGTCATGCTAACTGGCTGTGCTCCACGTCCTCATTCCCAACTCACAGCCACAGGTCACGAAGCAATATGTCAAAAATTTTCAATCATTCTCCTTTATAATTTTATACAGACACCAAATGTTTGCCTTGGATGGTGTGCAAAGAGACTGAATGTTTTTAAAAACAAAATTGCAAAATTATATATTTGAGCTGTAGCTAGCTGAAAAGAATATATTCAAATATATATGTGTATAGTTTTTAAAAGAAAATTTATCAGCTGGGGATGGTGGTGCCTGCCTATAATTCCAGAATTCAGGAGGCTGGGGCAGGAGGATCATTGTGAGTTCAAGACCAGCCTGGGCTACAAAGTGAGCTCAAGGCCAGCCTAAACTTCATACTGAGACCCTGTCTCCAAAAAGCAAAAGAAAAGGGAAATTTATCATGTTCAAAATTTCAATAAAATTTTATCAGATTAATTTATAAGATTAATTAATCCTATCAGATTAATGTTCACTTTATCATCAATAGGAAAAGCATATAAGCAGCTAGGGGTGGTGGTACACACACCTGTAATCCCAGCAGTCAAGAGGCTGAGGCATGAGTCTGAAGCCAGCCTGGGCTACATAGTGAGTTCCAGGCCAGCTTGAACTACATAAGGAGACCGTGTCGCAGAAAAACAAACAACAACAAAAAGGGGAAAAGCATATAATAAATAAAAGATTGCATTCTCAAAATTATATGGACATTAATATTTATTATTAATACATAATTTGACACTTTCCACTAACATTTCATTTTCTTTCATGACACTGGAATTGAACCCAAGGCCTCTAGACCAGCGTGCCCTGCTACTGAGTCACTGAGCCACGTACTTGACTTTTCCCCCTAATTATTTAGACAGTCTGGCCAAGATGTGCAGGTTTGTCTGAAACTTTTGATTCTCCTGTCTCATCTTCCCTAGGAACTGGGCTTATAGCTGTGTACCCACCATACATAGCTGACTTTTGTTCTTCTGCCTTTAGATATCAAAAGGAAAAATAATTCTCTGCTAATGCCACACCCTGCATGAGTACTATGGTTCAGCGGGATCATCTGTGGGTCTCACAGAATTAGTGTAACCTTTCTCTATATCCACGTGGCATAGTCATGTGTGTGCCCACATGTATGGACTAGGATCACACTGTACAGGATAAAAACCATTCCTCCAATATTTTATGTGAATGATGAGAATTCTTTACAAAATGTGCTTCCTCTTGTTTTACTGTTCATTTTTCTGATTGCTTCACATTGTGTTATTATTTATATTTTAAAATATTGTATAATTTACATGTAGAATATATTTTATTGCTTTTCTTTGATAAATTCTGAGCATTATGAACTTAATGATTCTTTTTATACTATACACTGTCAAGGGTACTGATGCCATTAGTACAGTTAGAAGCAAAGGAACTGAGTCATTTCCTTTCCTCCATTTAACTCTAAATAGTACCTAACGCTTATTTCTCTTTCCATTTTCCCAAGGGAAATAAAACACAAAATAAAATCCTCGGAGATCATGGATGCCTTAGGTGAGCACTGGCATGATGGGAGATTGAGAGGGAGACACCAGAGCAATGGTGTCTGGCCCAGAGGCATCGTGGGTGGTCACAGATGCCCACACCGCAGTTCTCTAATGACAATGTGTACTTTAGCATAACCGTAGCCAACTGTGCTGGGGGAATACAGGGAGCAACCTTTGTGTTCGTCCACTTGGTATAATGAACAGCAAGGTGTATGCCTGTGCGTCAAAGTATAAACAGGTGAGTTTTACCCATATTATGCATTGTTACATTTTGTATATTTATAATTTGTTTTATTAAAGGTTTTCTTTTCATTTTTCTCATAGGGTTTGCCCAATCCAGTACAAGTTGCATGAAAATCCACTTGTTCAACTTTGGAAAGAGGTTGGAATCAGGTTATTCATCCACGCGTGATGACTCGTGTTGTGTAAGGTGAAAACGTTAGCAGGATATGACAGACGGAGACATACAGAATGAAGACCTTGATTCAGATGAGGAAGACAACAGCAATGTAAATGAATATTTGATGAGTCAAATGCTACAGAATGCTCCTGTATTCCTGAAAGAGACGATGTTAGAACTAGGTCAGAAAATGTTACTAGATTCTCACCATGGGTCAAACCTATTGGGTGGAATGCCAGCACTGTGACTCCAGGTTGGAAATTGTTTGTAATGGACAATATGCTACAAATTGTTTAGAAATATAGTAATAATGCAATACAAGTAAAACATTCCATTTGCATCAAAGTAATACTCAAAATGTATTTATCATGACACCTCGCTACCTGAACTAGAAGCCTTCATAGTGGACTGTCATTCTGATCATCAGAATCTAAAGAATTTATGGAGAAGTGACAGATGTGACATTGAGAATTTTAGAACAATAACACTCAAGAGATTTGGTTTCCTTCAAAATTGCCTATGTTTTGATGATGAAAAGACCTGTCAAGAAAGAAAAAATCCAACAATTTAGCTGCTATTCACTCATGTTTGAAAGCCTTGTTTTGAACTCTCAAGCAATTTATACACCACCCAAACGCATGACAATTGAGGAACAACTTCCATCATATCATGGTTACTGAAGCTTTCAATGACGTGTGCCAAACTAACCTTTTAGATATGATATAAAAATATGTGACCTACTGGATGCAAAGACATTTTACACCTTGAATTTAGAAATTTATCGTGGAACTCAGCCATCAGGTCTTTATTTATGCAGCAATAAACCACATGACATTGTGGACAGACTTGTTGCACTAATTTCAAAAGGTAACCCAAATGTCGCATTTGACAGCTGGCTCACTAGTTACCCACTGATGTTTCATTGCTAAAAGAACACACCAGAAACATTTACAATAACAAAGCAGAGATTCTTGAAAAAATATCACAGGTTCTCAATAGAGAAATGTATAGTACAGTCTTTGGATTTCAGAAAGACATACATTAGCCTCCTATACGGTGAATAAAAACAAAATTGTATTGATATTGTCAACATCATACTATGATAAGATTGATAGTGAAGCCAGGCATAGGGGTACATGCCTGTAATTTCAGTGCTTGGGAAGCTGACATGGGAGGATTTTGTGAGTTCAAGTTTGGCCTGAGCTACATAGTGTCTCAAGAGAAATGAACAAAAATTGATAGTGAATCCTTAACACAAACGAAGCCCGAAATGGTCATATTTTACAACAAAATGGAAGGCAAGGTAGATGTTGTTGACAAGTTATGTAGCAACCATGATGTCACTCAAAACAGTGCTTTAGCCAAAGGTTGTGTTTTACTCAATATTAAACATGTCAGGCGTAGGTTCATACTGACAAAGAAAACAATCAGCACAAGCTATCAAGGAGAACTTTTCTTAGAGGACTGGACTAGAACTGATAAATAATGAGTTACAACAGAGGAAAGGCAGTATGTATCTGGCCCAAGAACTCTGCAAAAGAATTCAGGAGCAGACCAGAGAATAGACAGGTGAATCACAAGAACCTCCTAAGAAAACAGGAAGACCAGCAAGACCTTAAGCGTGTCCTACCAAAGCAAAGCACATGTGCTGTCAGTGTAAGCGACACTTGTGTGTCAAACATGCTGTTTTCATGTGTGAAAGCACCTTAGGTGTGATAATTCAAATAAAGATTATATTCGTGGTAAAGTTTTACTTATAGTTTCAGTGTAGTTCACATAGGAATTTATTTCTGCTGCTTTTTTTAATTTAATAAGCAAAGAGTTGATGTAGAAAATCTTGATGTTTATCCAAACACTCAGTACATATTTGATATTTTATTTTATTGACATTTCATTTTCCTGCTAAGTGCACATAGTATAATATAGTAGGAAGCTCCTGACAAAATAGAAGGACAGGAGGAATGACAAGTATGACCTGCCAGAAAAGACAGGCAAGCAGAGCTCACGTGCTGTCAGTGTGAGCAGCATTGGTGTATGGGACATGCTGTTGTCAGGTGTGAAGACTGCCTTATGTATGATAATTCAATTAAGGTTATTTCTGTGGTAGAGTTTTATTTCTATCTTCACTGTACTTCACATAGGAATTTATTTCTGCTGGGTTTTTAGGCTCAGTAAGCAAACAGTTGACGTGGCAAATCTTGATGTTTATTCAAACACTCAGTACATATTTAATATTTTATTTTATTGATATTTCATTTTCCTGTTAAGTACATAGTGTTTAATATAATAAACTCATAAAATTAAAATTAATATTTCATAAATGGAAATACTCCTCAAAAAGTGGGCATTATATCCCCTCCATGATGCACCTTTCAAAAAATTTACCATGATGCCCTTAGGTTGAATTCCAAAGCCTGAGTTATCAGCCCTTTTCCTCTTTTTTCTGCTGATGCTGATACCTTTCCCTGGATCATCAAGAAACAAAGATACTTACTACTTTCTACTGGGTATATGCTTAATAATTCTTTCCTCATTATTTCCCCAAATCTGCAATATTATTGACCCATTCAACTGCAACGCCATGACAGCTCTATACAGTATTTTACATGTGATAATCAATTTCTACCTGCACTAGTTATCATTGGTTTTATTATTTCAAAATAAAAAAAAATTATAAAAATTAAAAATAATAAAACCTTAGCAATTCAAAGGACAGAAGATTATAGTTTTAAATAAGTATAAGTAAGCATTTGGGAAGAGTCAGTGGGATTGGTCTCTTATTATGTATTTGTTAGTCACTTGCCTCTGTTATAAACTATAGTTGAGAAACTTTTGCCTATTTTCACTGTGGCTTCTTGTTTTTATTTCTTTGTAATAATTTTAGAATTTTTAAATAAATTAACAATTAATCTTGACAAGAAAGATTTTCATCATTTAATTTTAATTACACTCCTAAAATTTTTATGTAAGACTATACTTATTCTCATGTTTAAATTTTAACAACAAACTATGCTAAATAGAATCTTTAAAAGTTAAGCAGTCCATGCTATTCTATTAAGTTAGTCTATGGGAGTCTACTTTACATACAATGAACTGCCCAAGTCATGTTGTATCTTCAATTATGTTGGTGGCAAACAAAGCTCTGCAGCATACATAATCTGTCCAAAATCACAGATCTTTAAAATGCAAAGCTACTTCCTAATGTTACATATGTGTTATATTGTTTTATTTCCCATATGCCTGATTGTAATATTAATTTACATTCAAAGATAATTTTTGAAATAATATTTAGAATACCAATCATTTCTTTTTTAAAGTGAATGTTCTTGTTTCATTAAAATTTCCTACATTCTTTTCTCCTTGATGTGGAAATCATGGGATCCCTTCTGGAAGGATGGACAAACAGCTATACAAGAAAGGCGCTAACTGATACTTCATTCCTTACCAGCTTTTCTCAGTCACATTTTACCACCTTATATTTGACAACTCAAGAACTATGTGGGGCTGTGCTGACATAAAATGAACAACTGAAAATAGCTTGCCATCTGTGAAATCGCAGGCTATTGTTTAAGAAGTTTTAGTAAGCAGGTGTTCCTACACAGAAAGTTCCCACACAGAAAGAACCGCAGAACTGCTAACCTTTCTTAGTGGTCACGCATCCCTGCAGGAGACATACTGAAGAGCTACTGGTGAGGGAAATGCATCAGAAAGAGGAAAACAGTTACTGGGAAAAACTAAATCATGATGAAAATGAACTCATAAGTGATATGAGTGACATTTTTCATGTGTGTACCTTATGAAAAACAAAGATCAAATTACAGTCTTTCAAACAAAGGATGAACAAACTAAGATAGGATTTTATAAACCTCTGTGGGACTTGCTGTTAGAGTTCCTTAATGCAAAGTGCACTTACACACCTGGGAAGGGGAAGCGTGGATGATAGGAACTTTGATCAAAACAAATAAAGCTCCAACGCATGAGTGAAAACAAACTGATATTTTTGTAAATAAGATAAATATAGAAAGTGATTTAAAACGTGTGATTAAAATATATTTTATATGCCTGTCTACTGCTTTCTATCTGTGTATTTCCCCTCCCCACCACTGTGTCTGTCCGTCTGTCTGTCTGTAATGTTATTTTTAAAAAGGAACACTTCAATTCTAGTATGGAAGTTCTGATTTCTGGTCTGACACGTTCTGATTTCTGGTCTGAAAGAGCTTGGACTTCATCACTCTTCTTAATATGCAAGAAAACCGCTCAGCCATCAGCAGATCAATGATTGTTCTTAAATTCACCCAATAACTGCTGTCGCATACCAAACCACAGCCTTAAGACAAGCGGAGACGGAGTTCAGTCCATCTGAAGTGAGGTGTGTGGGGGTGCGCGGAAGCACGCGGATGGCAGCTGCCTCGAGGAGGGAGGCGGAGTGCGGAGTCTGTGGGCAGCAGGACTCCGGCACCTGCATTTCCTTTCGCCTCCAGGAATCCGTGGGATTCTCCAGATGAAGATACAAACAACATTTTCATGTTACTCTGGCAAAAGGCGAGGAAAAGCACAGATTCAAAGCGAGAACAGAACACTCTGCAGAAAGAAGCCCTGCTGTCCAAGAGAAACTACTTTATCTAAGCCCTAACCTCTCCAGGAAAGGGCAATTAGCTACTGTCAGCCCCTCCAGTATTCCCGTGTCATGGACAAAAAAAGTGTGTGTGCAAGATCAGATGGAAACACTCTCGCCACAGAATTTCTCACTTCACTGTAACGTGGAGGGACTCTACACTTCACACAGCTTTATTCCAAGAATGTAGCATGTATTTCGTTAAAGTTTCATCACTGCCTTTTAACTGATGCATTCGTCATAGATACATCATGAGAATTAAAATAACTCAGCCTTTCTGATTAGCACAATTAAATGTAATACACGTATCAGATTTTTTTTTTAGAAAGAACCAACTATACATTGCAAGAGATTTACCTCAGTTTTAAGGACACACATGGACCGGAAATTAAGGCATTTAAAGAGATACTCCAAGAAATAGAAGTGAAAAGTGTGGGATAGTAATACAAACATGAGCTAAAAAATGCAAAAACTGACATTATACAGTGATACAAAGGATCAACTCATTAAAAGCATGTACAAATTACACATATACATACATCCAGCATTAGAGCACCTACGACAAAAAGCAAATCTGAAATATCTCAGGGGAGAAAGAGATTATGGCACAGCATTAGCAGACGGTTCAGAGTACACCTACTCCCCAGAGCTCACGAATATTCTCCAGAACAGAGCACGTGAGTGCACCAGACACATCTTCGGGGAGTTTAAAGCACTGAGATCATTTAGTATTTTTTTGCCACAATACTATGAAACTACAAACTAACACCAGGAATTTCAGAATATTCCCAAACATATGGGCAATAAAAAAGGTGCATTTGAACAGCCAATATGGTGATGAAAACATTAAAATTGAAATTGAAAACTATTTGGAGACAAGCAAAAATGGAAACACAGCATACCAAAACTTATGGAAGACAACAAAAGCAGTACTAAGGGCATATGCTCATGAGATTATAAAAAACGTGATTTCAAATAATAGCATTCGACCTCAAGGAAGTAGAAAAAAATAAAATAAAATAAGCCCAAAGTCAGGAAAAGAAGAGAAATGATAGAGATCAGAGGAAAAATAAATAAAATACAACTAGAAAAATAAAACAGAATACTCACAAAGAGTTTTAATTTTCTGAAAAAAGTAGAAAAATTAACATTTTTAATTAACTAAGAAAAAAGAGTATTCAAATTAAATCAGAAGTGAAAAATGAAATATTACAGCTAATATCAGAAAAATACAAGAATTTTATATGACTCTGGTGAACTATTATATACCAGCAATCTGGATAAATTCCTGGACACATATAACCTTCCAAGAATAAATTATAAAGAATAAAAAATCTGAATATACCAATAAAAAGATATAATGGGTAAGAAAAAGTCTCCAATCAAAGTAAATCCTCCCACCTGATGGCATTACTGCTCTTTCCTACCAAATAGTTAACAAATCCTTAACAAAGTCTTCTAAAAATGCATTTAAGCTTTTGTATAATGGATTTATTCTTACAATAAATTATAAGTAGTACGATGTGAAAAATATCTATTCTGTGTGCATTTGTTAGCTCCTGACACCCACGATAAGTAACAACTATTAATTTCTACACTATGCTTCCAGTGGACTGGAAATGTTCACTCACATAGAGGTATCGTACGTGTCCCTCTGCCTCGTTCCTGTGTAGTAAACTGTATTCTCTGCACACCAACATGCTTTGCACTGTTGAACAAAGTGTCTCAAAGAGTTAACAATGCTAATAATTCATGAGGTTTCTTAGTTTTTTCATTTGTTTTTTGTATTATTGTTTCTTTTCTGTAGTAAAATATATACAACATAAAATTTGCCATTTCATCTATTTTTAAGCGCATGTTTTCTGGGATAAAGTATATTCAGGTGACTTGCCAAAGTCAGCACTAACTCCAGAACTTCTCATCTCTCCCAGCTAAACTCTGCGCTTCTCAAAGTCCAAAGTCCCAGCCCTACTCTCTGGCCTTTGTGAAGTGCCATTCTACTT